AATAATTTTAATATATTATATATATTATTATATGTAACACTATTTTAATATATATTTTATCATAGTATATATTACAAAGAGGAATAAAAAAGTGATCAACTGGATAAAATATTATGTTGAAAGACAATAGAAAATAGTATTAATTAATTTTTTAATTGATTTTATTCTATTTAATATTATGATAAGCCTTAATAAATTATAATTAATAAGTATATTATAAATTAATCATAGACAGACAACCAATAAGCATAACATATTGCAAAAGCACAAAGAAAAGTTCACATACTCTGTAGGTTAAATTTATTATTGCTAAGCATCTCTTTACGTTAGACACATCATAAATATTCATATATTATAGCTCAAAATTGTGTCTGACTGTTTGATGTTTGTAAATATTTGGTATGTGCGAAAAATTAAATGTAAGAGATTAAAAAATAAATAAATTTTACAATATTAAATTAACCAATATATAAAAATTTTTAGTTTTTGATTTTTTAACCAATAATCTTATTTAAATGTGATACAATAGAAAATATCTATGTATATGAATCTAATGTATATATATGTATGTATATATGTGTGTATGTGTATATATTATATATATATATATATATGCATACATAATACCTATTGACCTATTTTTTTTCAGGATTGTTTCTAAATTGCAAATGAACATCTCTCAGTTAATCAAAATGATTGGTTAAGAATTTATAAATAAATTTTTGTGCCGTTTTACAAAAGTTACATAATTTTTTAAACTTAATTTTATATATTTAAATAATTAATTACAAAGCATTTTAATTCCGACAAATAAAACTTTCTGTATAAGTTGCATTAATTACGGTCAAATAATTCGATGAGCGCGATTCGCGAAGTGGTTACGATTTTTGTGGGACAAGCTGGAACGCAGATATCGAATGCTTGTTGGGAATTATTCTGTCTGGAGCACGGGATTGAACCCAATGGAAATTTTAAAAAAGAATGTTGCTCAACAGGCAATTTATTCAGATCATTTTTCTCGGAATCACAGGTAAACTATTGCAATAAATATAAGTTCTAATTATAAGTTACATATTCAATTAATCGTCAGGTTAACGGATAATTAATAATTCTTGAAAAGTCTTGATTTCAGAAGAAATATATTTAAAGAAAAAGCAATGAATTTTTTTAGAAGCACATTATATATAATTGTTATAATAATTTTGCTATTAATGGTGTTACTTTGAGGAATGATAATGATTTCTTTTTTTAAACTGATGTTTTTCCTAGTAAAATGTATATGGTGGAGATCAAAAGAAATTAATAAATAAATTTATTGAGATATTTTTGTTAAAAGCACAAAAAACATTGAATTTTTATAAGTACAATATTTTAGAAAGGATTGTTCACACCGCGTACCGTAGTGGTTGATTTAGAGCCAACGGTAATCGATGAGATTAAAACTGGCGCTTATAAAGAACTTTTCCATTTGGATTCTTTAATTACTGGAAATGAAGATGCTGCTGACAATTTCGCAAGAGGTTATTACTCGCTTGGTCAAGAGGCAATCGATGTAACATTGGATCGTATACGTAAAATATGCGAAAACTGTTCGAATCTAAATGCGTTTATAGTTTCTAGGTAGATAGCTGTTATTTCAAAGATATATAATATATTATTCTCGACTATGTTTCTCCAATATATTAAGTTTCAATATTAACATTATATTAATTTAAAGTTAATAAAGCTTGTCTTCACAGGAAAAGATCCACCTATAAAATCATAGATAAAAAATGCTCATATATAATTCTATATATACTTTTTTTATATATACTTATTATCTATATATACTTATTGGAAATATATTCAGGTGTTCTTGTTTAATTTTAATCCACATTTCTCTCCTATTCATTTTACATTATTCACATCGGGATATACGTAAATAGCAAAAATTAAGTAAACCGAAGAAGTAATTTCTAGATCAGTCGGCGGTGGTACAGGCAGTGGTTTTACGACTTTATTGTTGGAACAGCTCAGCCAAGATTATGCTAAAAAACTAAAGTTGGATTTTGCTGTTTATCCTGCACCAAACATTTCCACTGTGATCGTAGAACCTTATAATTCCGTTTTAACTACACACGGCACTATGGACTATGTAGATTGTTGTTTTATAGTAGACAATGAGGCATTGTATGATATATGTGCAAGGTGCAAAATTTGTAGCAAAATTATATATTAAATTAACGATAGAATTATTACAAATCATATGACTGAAATAAATGAGTAAAAATAAAATAAAAATGTGATATATCTTCCTATATTAATATTGAAAAAATAATAAAAATCCTATATTGTTAATGATATTTGTTATGAAAAAAAATATTTTTGATTATACGCGCGTATATAAACATGCACACACATATATTTATATATTTGCAGGAAACTAGATGTTAATAGCCCAACGTATACAAATCTCAATCGTCTGCAAGCACAAATTATTTCCAATATTACCGCATCAATGAGATTCGAGAGTGCCGTAAATTGGAACCTCGAAGAAATAAAAACAAATCTTATACCATTTCCAAGATTACATTTCCCATTAATGGCTTACGCACCAATTATACCTTCTTATAAAGCAGCGTACTCGAATACATCGGTGCAACAAATTACGTTTGACTGTTTTGATCCTGCTAATCATGTATACATATATACAATATATACAGAATACTCCAGAAATATCATCACTACATGCTACAGATGCTACTAAAAATCAAATTAAGAAGAGAATACCAAATGTTTCTATTGAATGGCATTTAAAAATTGAAAAAAGATAAATCGCATAATAAAAAATAATATGATCATTCGATACTTATGCAAGACTAAAAGAAATAAATTGTTAAAGAAACATTAATATTTAATAATTATATAATGACTAATTAAGATTTTATTGATATATAGATGGTGAGATGTGATCCACGTATTGGAGTTTATATGAGCTGTTGTCTGCTATATCGCGGAAATATAAAAAGTAGAAATCAGATTAAAAACGTGATTAGTTCTCTAAAAAATAAGAAATTCATACGTTTTGTTGATTGGATTCCAACAGGTTTTAAGGTAACTCTAATATTAATATTTATCGCAGATTTATATATATAAGTAGGCCATATTTCTATTATTTCAAGTATATCATGCTTCTAACTGAAATAAACTATTCATTTTTAGTCAGGACTTAATTGTCTACCGACTGTTACGGTTCCCGGTGGTGATTTAGCACCCTCACAACGAACCGTCGCAAGCTTGAGCAACAATACCGCCATCCGGCATGCTTGGACTAGACTTGCATCAAAATTTGATCTAATGTATCAGAAAAAAGCTTTCTTTCATCATTATCTGGCCGAAGGTATGGAAGAAAGTAGTTTTGCAGATGCTCGAGCTAATATAAGTGCTCTATTAAAAGATTATATTGAAGTCGAAACATAAACATTTTACATGTGTAATATTGAAATTTTATGCTGTATAATACGCATATAATGAGAATGAGTTAGATAATTGACAATCTATTACGTATGCATATAATATTGAAATTTCCTCAATATGTATTGACACATTACTCTATAATAAAAAAGAAATTGCCTAATATACATTTTAATATACAGCATAAAAATGCATTTCTAATTTTTTTAGATTGTAATTATTATATTTAAAAAATATAAAAATATATATCTACAATAGATAGAGAGACATAAGTTTCTATTTTCAGATACGAAATGAGCAAGCGTGCAACATTAATAAAAACGTTTTAAAAGCGTAGGGAAATTTAATGCAAAAAGATCTTATAAAAAATCAAATTTTATTAAAAGACTAAATTTACGAATATCTTGCAGCATAACAGTATATATCTATCCAGCCAATTTTGCGCGTTATAATTATTGTTAGGGCAAGATACGACTGTATTTCCTAACATATGTATTATTTAGATATGTATATTCTATACATATTTATATTTATTTTATCAATTTTAATTGTGGAAAATCCATGTTACTTTAAAACAGAAGGATGACGTGTTACTTTAAAACAGAAGAATGATGAAGTTTAAGAAGTTGCAATTATATAGAAATATGTATAGGAATATACATATCTATATAATGCTAAACAAATACGGTTTTTGATGATAAAATAATTTTTATAATTTTATATAAGCGATAGATATGTTAATTCTTTCTCTTTCTCTCTAGTCTGGAAAAATTTCAGATAAGGAAAATATACAAATAATAATTCCAATAAATATTTCTGAATAACAAATATCATGATGCTAATTGCAACTTCTTGAACTTCGTCATTCTTCTGTTTGAAACTAACACGTCATCCTTCTGTTTTAAAGTAACATGGATTTTCCACAATTAAAATTGATAATATAGACGTTCGATAGATTGTGATACGATCTCTTTCAGATCGTATCACAATCTATCGGAACAAGATATATATTCCTATTAATAACCATCTATTGAGACGACAATCTTTTTACACACTTTGAAGTGGTTCTAAATAAGCAGAATTTAAACTTTTTTAAAGAAAATACATGTGTTGGATTAAACTATAAAATTATATGTGATTCTTTGCTTGGATATATATTGCAAAATTGCTAAGTTGTATAGCTCTGAATACAAATGTTCTAGACTAGACCGCAAGTCCAAAAAACGCTTAAACTTTGATAAACAGATATCGCTACCATTTTTTTAAAGATAAATTAGATCATAAAAAATTATGTTATGTATATACTGTATTTTCGTGTTTCTGAATCTCTTGAAGTAATGCAAGCACACATGTAAAATATATCGATACACACAAATCACTATTGTGTTTATTTAAAATATCGTCCCATGTTAAAAAAATCTAACGCTATTAAAAAATAGAAACATTATTAAATAAGCAAAAGATAATACGTAAAATATATTTTGCTATAAATTTAATTTAATAACGTATCACATACGAATTAAAATTTAATATATGTGCGTAAAGCTCATATATGTTGCATGCGTTCTCTGTTTTGATAAACAATCAGTCTCATACTTGCAAAAGTAATCTGTATCAGACCCCACGTGATCGGCACTGATTAATAATCGGTACTATACGACGCAACGTGTACGCAGGGGTTTTTTATCGGAATCAATAATCAGCATATCACAATCACGTCGTTCTAGAGTTCTTATTTACAACGGCACGAGAACGTCACGTGAGATCCAGCTGTGCACTCTTATCTATATCATGAGATTTTTGAACTCTCTTGCTTACGACAGCGGGTGTGCGCCATGCCGTCCTCGTGAACAAATTGAATCATAGCAACCAGCACGGCTACACTGTGCAAACTTTCCGTCCAATGTAATCTTATTAGGCGTAACCTGCATATTGCTTGAAATATTAATCGAGTTTTATGCTTATAAAGAAAATATTTAATAAAATATCGATAAAAAAGATATTGATTTCTTATAGTATTTCTACGATATCTCTAGAATATTCTGATTGGAACCATTGGGTATCCTTTTAATCAAATTTTTTGGTCAATGCGGAATCTTTTTTTTTTTTTTTTTTTGTTTGACAAAGTTGAGTAATAAATACCACAGCACTCTAAAGGATTGTATGTGTGTGTATTATAATTTAAATTAATTTATAAAATTTATTTGGATACAATTTAATTCATAATGTATTGTACGGTTGTCTTTTAAATATGATATTTGTAATTTTTTTTTTATTCGATTTTATTAAATTAAGAATAATTTCCATATAAATGAAACTTAACGTATTTCTCATTCGTTCTTTTCTACTTTTCTCAATTAAGCTATATCATTTGCAAACTGCTTACTTAGTAACGATAAGTCGATGACCGATGCGGATGTGATACGACGCGACGTATTTTGTTTATTGTTGCGCTTCGTGTCCTCATTTTTACGCTGTATTATCCTTGCATCGTTATCACATTATCGTCTATGATTTTACGTCAAACTGTACTGTCCGATGTCAATTTTCCCAATCATGCAATTATGATAATGCGCGTACATAGTTCATATTCCACAGCTAGCTCTTTGCCCGCGAATATGCGTCAGCGTTATACTAGAGTTTATCAATATGCTGCTTAAAAAATGATAAAAACTAAAGACCCCCGAGACACGTATATGTCGCCCGCACTTATCTCGCAAGTTTCTTCCTTTCTCTCTCCCTCTTTCTATCTTTCTTTAAAATAAAAATTCTCTTCCAATGAGACCTGGTAATAATTGTCGTGAATGACGCGCGAGTTTCTTATCTCAATGATTCGTGTGACGTTGTATTGTTGTATAAAATACCCGTCGTGCGCGACTTGCCATCAGTACTAGTCTTTCACATCTACACGATCCAATGAGGTAGAACAGCATCTAATATAAATTTTTCGTATTTCAAACTTTCAAGTTATATATCAACGATCTAGTCAATACTCGCAGTATATTAACACCAGACAAAAGGTAAGTCAATTTTTCTTTTATCTCATGTCCAGATTTCGAACAGTGTGAATCTGTATAAATGCCTTAAAATTCACAGTATATAAAGGATATAAACTCTTTAAAAAACATATCGTGGATATGTCCCTATCTTTTTGTAAATTCAGCTATTTTACAAAAAAATCTCGCGTTTTACGTATTAAAAACTAGTTTCTAAAGACTCGGCATTTAAAGCACTTTATAAAAAGATAATTGTAAGCTTTTTTTGCAAAAAGATTGATTTTACAACAAAATTGCAACAGATATGTAAAGATAGACTGGGAACCTCATGTATATGTTCCAAATAGCTTTGAACGAGAAAAAAAAACATCAGATTTTTTCCTTTCTTATCCGTGCAATGCGTAAAAAAGGGAGGACAAAAATTTGATGTCTATTTTTTTCTTCTCTTCTTTGTTAATTCATAGAAAAGTGTATTATAAAAAAATTTTCCGACAACGAAATGTCTATGTATAAGTAAAATCACATTATTTTCATTTCCTTTCTATAAAGACGCATTTTCGTATTCATATTCATTTCGTCTTCGTATTCATATACACTCAAAGAGCACGCAGTCATTATATCATACCTCGTATTTGAAGCTTCGATATACATCTGACAGGTACTAATTAATTCGTAGATGCTGGTTGGTGGTGCTGTTAGCTACGTCGCTGGAAAGCAGGCAGTTCGTACAGTTTATTGGCGAACTGCAAACAATGGGCGTCTTTTGAAGACAGCGAAAACCTGCATGTTTCAAGGACCACCGAAACCTGCACCATCATCAACTGCGGCCTCCTCGGGGTGTCCCGCACAATCGCACATGGACTTGATACCCAAAGTTATCTGAAACTGAGGAAACTACGTATCATTATGAGAAATATTCATTGTATAAATTTACAAACATGATTATTAATTATTTAATCTCAATTTATATTTATATAAAATAATATGACGATGCAATAAAGCGATTATTATTTATTTTCTTTTATTAAATATAGCTGTTTTTATTTTTATCCACACATCATAAAATATTTTATATATAATGTTCTATAGTTAAAAAAGATTAATATTATAAAATAATGCACAAAAAAATTGTTGCGACATTAATAATAATTCTTTGTTAAATTTGATATAGATTTTTTTTTCAATAAAAGAATGTTAGAATGCTAATAATTTCAGAGTTATTAATAATCAAAACACGAAGAACTTGTAGCAAATTAAAGGGAATTTAATTTAATCTTTATTTAATCCTAATGTTCTTGCAATCACATATAATCGATATCAAAATGATGGAAACACTTCTCTTTCAATGATTTCTGGTTTCAATATCCAGTATTAGAATATTTAGAATTTATTAAGAGAAAAAACGATGCTTTTTCTTCAGAAATAAAATCTCCATTTTCTTCGCTTTCTTATTTATCTTTAAAAACAATTATAAAACCAATAAAATAATTAGTTTTTTTAGTCTAAATGTGTTCTAGTTGCGATGTCTGTAATTATATTTATAAAGATAAAATTCATTAAATAATATATTTAAATGTTCTGTTTTTGATGATTATCTGGCATAAAATTTAATCTAATTTTCTGGAAATTAGATTAAATACAGCCGAATAAAATCTGATATATATGTGTAGATATGGTTCTATTATCTTTCAAAGAAGAAGAGAAAGGAACTTGATGAGTTATAAGATGACAGATAAATTAGAAGAAAAGCAAAAATAGTATCTGCCGAAAGACTAGCCACGTCGATATGGCATTGAGGCACATATCACGTCGGTAGGGGTAAAGTAAGAGGGTAAAAGTGTTACGCCGGCGCAATAGCGTATGTATCGATTTTGGAAGCAAAGCTGCCCCATGCAACCCAACATCGATTCGACCGCGAAGGGTACCGGTTTGGCAGTTGATATAATCGGAGAGTCCACGTAGAAGTGACGAAAAAAGAGAACAACGATTGCTCCATGGTGAACAGACTTTGCGATCTTGCATTTTGTTCGGTGAACGTGTTCCATTGGTAGCTAAAATTACGCTCTATCACGAGAGCATTTCCGAGCGTGAAAGCAAATAGGAAAAATCATGCAGAACTATGGACACGAGGATTACAACTATGGAGCGTCGAATGATGCGTCCGATGTGCAATCAACGAATAGGGCTCTCCCTCAAGTTCCGAGCGCTAGACCGATAGTGGACCCGCAAGCCGAGGGTGAGGTAGATCCCACCATGTATCCTCAACCGAAGGAAGCCACGCATAAGATACGCGGTAAGAGCGATATCTTGGAGTATCTCTTCGGTTCCGTCGATCAAGAACTCCTCACCGTAAAGACTTTCTACTTTTTCTTCTACTCGGCCTTTGGTTCCCTGTTTCCGCTTATGGGAGTATATTTTAAGCAAATGGGTATGAATGCCGGACAGTGCGGTCTCCTCATCGGTCTCAGGCCGTTCATTGAGTTTCTCAGCGCTCCTTTTTGGGGATCCTTAGCCGATAGGTGAGATTTGTATCTGTGCTATCTTCTTACATGGCGCTGTCATTTAGATGAAAATATATGCATTATATCTTTACATTAAAAGATTGTCGATCAAAGAGCCGCGAGATTACGACACCATATGGTTTCATAGGAAACGTAACATGAAGATCGTGTTATGATAATTTTATTGAGATTGAGAATATATTTTCAAACATTAATTTAAAATTGCATAAATGTAAATTAAGGATTTGAAGTCGCACACTCGCACCTACTTGAGTATTTTAAAATGATGCGACATTTGCGAATAATGTTCACATAGAATCGTGTCCAATCTATTTGTATCTTTTTTCATTTATTCACAGATGGCAAAAAGGCAAACTTATTCTATTAGCTTCTCTTTCTTGCTGGATTATTTTCACTCTACCATTGGGTTTCATTCAGCCACCGCCAACTTCCTGCATGGTTAGAACAGAAAATTATACTTATTATCTGGAAGCATCCAACAGAGAACAAAGAATTGTAAAAAGATCGACCGACCTGGATGAATTATATTATTCCGAAAATAAAGAAGAGTATCTGGAAGTTGCATCTAATGTCGTCTTTGAAAGATTGCGACGAAATACAGATGATAATGAAATATTAGATTATATGAAGAAACCAAATTCTCTGAAAGAAACTAATCTGTTCGAAATACCTTTTGACATCGTGAAAAATGATATTACAAGTTTCGATAATAGCGATTCTATTGTATACGATTTGGAAAATAACAGAGTCAAGAGACAAACATCTTTCACGAATAAGAACAACATCGAAAATCTGAGATATTTAATACACGAAGACAATGTCGATTCAGATTCAAAGACAATCGATTTGGAGTCATTGCAAAAGAAAAATCGTCCAGACGATGTCTTGGAATATAAGCGTTTCATGAAGGTATATATATTTTTTATCCTATGTGTATAACATAAATATAATAATCATAAAATCGATATATAATATAATTAAACATTGCAATCAAATATTATAATTTTTGTCTTGCTTTAAATTAGGCAAATATTATATTTGTCTCTTATAATAACGTACAAACAATTGCGATATCAACGTTTATAAGTGAATGTGATGATAACATTTTGTTATCATAACATTGTTATCATAACATCTTAACATTGTTTTAAATTAAAACTATGATATTTTTTAAGATTTAATTATACATTTTTTTATTAATAATATTACATAACGTAAAAATTATACACTAAAATATATATTTGTTTCATATAGAATGAACGAATAATTGATAGAGCAGTCCCAAAGAAAGCTCAAGTTCGTACTAAAACACGTGTTAAACCACCACCGGAAAAAATAATGGTAAAACGAGACGTAGAAAAAAAGCTAACATTTTTGAATGAGAACGATATTAAAATTGATGACAATGAAGAAGAAACTAAAAGAAATATGGACATACCATTAATGAGAAGTCGCAGAAGCATAAAAACGCTTCATGGCACCATCTTTGGACAGAATCAATTGTCTCCTTTATCGATTACTTATGCTACAAATTATAACGAAAAAGAACATAAAGGATGGGTGAAACCACTCTTTAGTTCCATAGTCTATAGATTACCGGTAAGCAAGCTTAATTCTCATTTTATGATGCAATCTTAAAAATAATAATTTATATTTATGTGTAGAGAGTAAAAACAGAAACGTAATTAATTAATGTAGCATATTGAGAAAGATCTGCAGACGAAGAATATATTAATAATAATTTAATAATGTGTTAATTAAATATGATTTTAGGATATTCAAAAAACCTTCTTTCTTCTGCTACTATTGGTAGTAGTCGGAGAATTTTTTTCTGCGCCTGCTATAACTTTAGCCGATTCAGCTGTTATTACTTTACTTGGTGAAGATGCTGATAGGTAATATATAGGTCAATACATCCTGATTTTGCTTAAGAAGATATGTCTTTTTGAAATTTTCAACAATTAATTATTAAGACATATTATACTGATTCGAGACTAAATTGTTTCCAATAGACATACCTTCTATTTCCAGTTTGAAAATTGCTGTGTTTGCACTTACATATGTTTAATAATCTTAAGATTAATACTAACCAACTACTTTGACTAACCAGATATGGTCATCAACGTATGTTTGGAAGTCTTGGATGGGGTTTAGCCATGTTTTTTGTTGGAATTGCTCTTGATCATAGCACCGCATTTCCGGATCATCCGTGTATCCCTGATGACAGAGAAAAGAATTATACAATTTGTTTTGCAATATTCAGCGTTTTAATGGGTGCTGCGTTAATAACAGCAACGCAAATTAATTTCAAGTATGATTTTGCGTCTGAGTATCCGCAAGTGAGTTCATTTTAATATCTGTTATGATAGAATATTGTTAGAATATTGCTGCTTACGAATTTTACTAAACGATTGATATAATTACATCACATTCTTAGTTTATATATAAAGATGACTTTCTATTTAATATATTATAAAGAAAACTTTCTATTCAATATATCTACACACAGAAAAATATTATTCTATTGCTAAGTAAAATGATTACTCAGTTTACTTTACTTCTTTTAAGTAACAGTTATTTTTAACAAACTTATGAAATACTTGAAACAAGTAATATTTACTTGTATATAGTATGTATTTTTCTGTGTGTATCTCTATAATATATCTATCTATCTATCTCCTCTCTTCTTTAAAGGAATTTTGAACAAAAAATATTGATTGCGCGCTTTATAGAGAAATAAATTTATATCAATTTTTTACTTATGGTTTATATATATTTATTACTTAAAAGTTTACGTTTAATATGTGTATAATAATTTTGTTAATTTAATTTTAGGAAGAGATGGGTCCGGCTGAGCCAACGCAAGAAGAAAAGCTTCAAAGTCAATTGTCTCAGCAGCTTAATCTTCCTGGACTTCAAGACTCTTCAGCTGCTGTAGATCCTAAACCTCAACCTCCCGAAGGAAAGGTCTATATCCAATTTTTTGATCAAGATACACAAGTTTATTCCAAAATGCACATACATAAAATATATGAAAGCAACAAATAAGCATCTCATTATGCTTATGACATTGTCTAAAACTATTATTCTCTCTTTCCTATTAGTTTTATATTTAATTTTGTCAATGTCTCATCTTTCTATTTTAAATTATATTAAATTAAAAATTAATTTTTTCAGATTCATAAAAGTAGTATTGTTGCATTAAATTTTTTCATTTTACATCTCAAATTTAGTTATTGAAGTTCTTCACAGAAAAAAATTGATAATACAATCAAATTTTACCACTAAAGTCCTTCCCTATTTCGAATTATTAATCAAAATAAATAGATACATATTTTATTTGCATCTGCATTTATAGTGAACCTAAGATTTATCTGGCCTAGACTAATATTTATTAATTAACAAAATTAAACGTATTTTTCAAACACATTTTTACTTATCTCGATCGTGTATTTTGTATGAAAAAAAAAATCTTATACTATATTATTCATATTACAATCATTATAATGACTTTCTAATTTTAGACTAAAATGTTTGCACAAACTACAAGAGAAATACCAGAATGGGTGACAGTATTGAAGCAATTCAAGAATTTGAAATGCGCCTCATTCCTTTTCGTTGCATGGTTTATGGGATTTGGCATAGGATTGATCTTCACTTTTCTCTTCTGGCATCTTCAAGATTACGGTGGTTCGCCAACTCTATTTGGCGTGGCGTCAGTAATCAATCATATCTCCGAAATCTTCGCATATTTTTTCAGTTTCAAACTTATTCGACAGATCGGACACGTCAAGGTAAACGACTATAAGATTAATCGCTTTCAATATATTAACAAAATAGAGTATTGAAACAAAACTATATATAATATTTTATTTTCTAAGAGAAAATGCGATTGAAAACTTTATATTTATATTTATATTTTTAAACTTATACTTCTGCATACTCAATTGATAATTATAACTCATATTTCAGGTATTGTGTTTGGGTCTAGGTGGAAATATTCTTCGATTCCTTTACATATCTTGGCTAACAAATCCATGGTGGGTATTGCCTTTCGAGTTCATTCAGGGTATTACACATGCGGCTGTATGGGCCGCATGCTGTAGCTACATCGCCCATAATACACCGTCGCAGTTGCGTTCGAGTGCTCAAGGTGTTCTTCAGGGACTTCATCATGGGCTTGGAAGGGGATGTGGTGCAGTAATTGGTGGCATGTTTGTTGCAGCTTATGGTAAGTTTTTACTATACACAATGTGTGTTTCTATAAAATTATAAAGTAAAGTTTTCTGCAAATAGTTAATTCGAAACCCAAGCAGCTTTATATTATTGCATTTTTTACATCTATCGATCATTTGTATATTTATCTAAATCGCTTTATCTGCGGATTTTTAATTTTTCTATTTGTTTTCATTTTATTGTATTTTAAAATTCAATTATTCTCTGTCTTATTTTTTTCAACAATTCTTGGCTTTGTATTCTTTAATTTATTTTTCCATTTTCCTTCGATCTGTATACATGATTTGTGATGTTTATTCTATCTTATCTCCAGAATCTCCTTTCTTTCTTCTCGTTATATCTCCTTTCGCATCTATAATATGTCTATGTATGATATGGGTGTGTGTGTGTAAGTCTAATAATTATATATATATATATA